ACACGCACACATACGGAGGAGACCTACTTTACTCCTGATCATTAGTCAGCGGCCCATTCTGTTTCAAAGAGGTGAAGAAGAAGAAAAGGTTTGAATGGCCGTCAAGGTGAGCAGCTTTCTGATGCAACATCACTGTCTGGTGTCCTGCCTTTTCTGCCCTCTGGTTAATTAACAATATGAAATTTTTCACCAATGTCCAAACAGCTCTATTCAACTTTAGTGGCCAACCAGACACATAATTTGAGCTATTTTTAATTTTTTTGCTGATGTTCGCTGAGCACAGTTCGGCATAATTGCAGTGAAATTCGAATAAAAAAAACACAATTTGAACTGCTGTTTGAAATGTAATGGAAAAGAAGTGTATTTTCCCAGAGCTCAATGTAATTTCAGGTGTAATTTGATTTCCTTTGTCACCAGTCGTGGGTGTCCATCACTGTGGGAAACACAAGGTGCATGATTTGAGCTGCTTTTGTCATACGTGCCAGTTAAAAGAAACAGCGTCGCCATGAGTGACCGCACTTTATTTTCGTTCTTCCTATTTGTGGTGTCCCTTTCAACTCTGTCACGTACGTTCGAAAAGCGGCGCATGTCAACAATGGGAATAAACATTTGCTAACTGTAAGCATCTCCAACAATTCGTGTCACCCTGAGGCCTTGTTCCCTCAGCCCTTAAGGTCACTGCACTTCCCCTATTCAAAATCCCCCCCACCCAGCCTGTTAAAAAAAGGTTCCCCCTGCGTTCCAAGCGTATTTATTTTCCTTCATGACAACGGCTGATAAATGGTCGCACGGCCCACTTCTCCTTATTTGCCCATGGTTGTCTTGCAGAGGAGCGTGAGAGAGCGGCGAGTGCTGAGAAGGAGCTGTTTCACGGGTGCAGGGAGGAGTCACTCCTCCCAACGCTGTGAAGCTTCAATGTTCTGTATCTGTAGTGGATGGCTGCTTGATATTCAGGTGGAAGGGTAAATATGGAATTAAAGAAAGTGTCAAAAATGATTCTTCCCCCATAGCCTCTGCTGTCCACTCTCACTTCCTCGGAACAGGTGGCCTCTCTTTGTTGTGCACTGCGACCGCATGAGCAGAGTCGGTGGGATTCCACACGACAAAGAAAGAGCCGACTATAGCACTGGAATAGGGTTACCATGCAGCTTCTCCTTTCAGCGCGCTTGTTAGTCATCCATGGTGTTCAGGTCTGGTGAAGAACGCCAGGACGGGCCGGATGTCCATTGTACTTGGTACAGGGTGAAAAAACTGTTTCCATGCAGCTCTGTGGGGGCTGCGCAGTAGGAGAGCGGAGTGGAAGGCGCAGAGGGGACACTGGACTACAATTAATAAAAGAAGAGAGGTTTGTTTTTCTGACTGGAGCTCCTCAGAGCAGTCTTCTGGAGCGTAGTTAGGGGAGAGACATCTGCTGACTTTCTATATAATCTCCCTAACAAAAGTCTGCTGGAGGAGACATTCCTCACATATTTTCACCGCCTAGTACCACCCTGTCATACAGCTACGAGCCCCCACCTCTCATCTACCATGCAAAGATGGTCACACACGGAATTTCTGGGGGGGGCAAAAACAAAAAACAGTAACAGAAAAAATATAAAATAGAATAATAAAAAGGTCCATCTGTCTCTCTGCAGCCCTTCTTTTAAAACAAACATTTCATCCTATACTGACTCTCCTTCACTGCCAGAGGATTCACTGCACTGGAAAAGTACAGGAACTGTGTTTCGGTCTGGTCAGCAAATCCGAAGCCATCAATGATTCATGGCATTGTCAAGAGTGCATCATATCTAAGAAAGCTGGTTCACCTCTGCAAGTCAGCAGCAGAGGAAAAGGGAGGAGGTGGAGAAAACAAGCTACAACTCAGAAGAAAAACCTCTGGGGCTGAAAATGCTGGAAACTTTTCAGACAAGTGTGCGTCAAATTGTTTATGAACAAAAGAGTTCCTTGAAAAGTAAAACAAAATTGCACTTTTGATCCGTCTTCCGACATCGACACTTGGATTCAAACCTGCAATGCCCCCCCACCCACACTTTTTCAGTCAACAAAGCTGCTGCAGGCAGATGAGTCTGACAGCTGTAATCAAAAAGTGAAGAAACAAGAACTAGGTTCATAGGAGAAAAAGGTATTTCTATTTACTTTATTTTTCTCATTTCGGCTTAGAGCGCCAAGGTCCAGTGGCTTCTCGAGTGAATCGACTTCAAATATTTGCCGTGATGCTGGCTACGCCTTTATCTCAGACTTCATTTGCAACGGGAGCATGGTGAGGGCGGCCTCCGAAATTCCACTCTCTGTGAAAGTCCACAGTGGTGCGTGAAAGATAAACACGTCCTGCATTCAGAATCACAGGCCTCACTTAGTGTCCTTATCTTCCTGATGAAGTGTTTTCCTCCTCCCAGCTCTCAGGATACAGGCCCCTGCACTTCCCCAAACAAACCTGCTCACGGTGGTGCTCACGGTGGTGCGCACGTGCAACAACACGGCCGCGGCCAGACTCCACTCAGCAGAGGTTGTTTTTCTTTTCGGGAGCACCACTTTGAGTGCTTCTTGTTTGGTTTGCTGATAACAGCCATGTAGGGGAACATGTGGTGCATGTGTGTTCCATTTGCCCACTAATTAGATTGCAAGGCAGTGCAGTGAAGCATGTATTGTAGCCCTCCCACCCGTCCCCTGCTCCTTCACCAACTCTGCCAGTCCATCAGATAAGGAAGCCATTCGAGCTCTCATCATTTTTTTATTGTGTAAAAGCAAATTTAGTGAGTGGAGCTGCGGCAGACTGTCTGATTTGTCCAAAAAAAAAAAAAATTACATTCTGTCTGCAAATGTATGACTGACTAATGCCCTGCATGGAATTGAGTTAGCAACGTCATGCCTGGTGATTGGTTATTACTCTAACATATAGATGTTGATGTTATTTGAAATTGGGCAGGAACAAAGAAAATGTGTGCATGCTAGGTGAACTGCACTGTCAGATATTTGTTATTAACTTAAAATAGTAAAAAGCTTTAGGGCAGAATGACCCGGTCTACCTGGGTGCCCCCCTCCCCCCACGGAGAATTACTTAAAGTTCAATAGCTGGGCTGTTTGTTACTGTCCCAAGACGGTAATCTATTGTCTATTGTCCTACTGTGATTATGGGTTGTATCTGCTCCAAATGTAATTAATATGCAAATGGGAAATAAAAAAAAAAAACACAACCTGATTTGAACACATATGTAAATACACACTACACAAACCTGATCTGTTTACAAATGTATGAACAGCCAATTATCTGCAATCTGTCTGTTCAACGAAAGAACACAGTTAATATGTAAATGACATATCGATGGATCACTAAACAAAGCCAGCCTTCCTTTCAGCCTGGGAAAAAAAGGCTCCCTTCCCCAGGCCTGCAGGGCTGAATTCTTTTTACTGTGTGTTTAGACACAGGAAATTCATTCCTACAGCTAATTTGATTAGCACCAGCATTGTTACTGCACTCCCACCCTCACTGGCTCCCTCTCTGTTTCCTGGTCAGTCAAACGTTCCCTTTGGTGACGGTGGCGCATGTCAAAGAGCAGCTTCCCTCACAATGACGGCAACACCCGGTGTGTCTAACCTGTGACATCAATAAATACTGCCTTAAGTGGTGTTGAAACGTGGGATTAAAAAAAACCCAAACATATGTTGCAAACGTATACAGGAGCTCTTCAGGCAGCACAAAGGAAGAAGGTCTGTGTTTTGGGCGGAATGGGAACAGAGTAACAAGATCCAGCAAAGCCCCGGACTCTCCTAAACCCTGCAGCATAAACAAATAGCTGAGACAGAGCGCGGGGGCAAAGGCGCGACACACGCACAAAAACCGCACACAATCGCACAGACACAGACGGGCAATCACAGAGTGAGTCAGTCTGCACAGGCGAGGCTCACCTCGGGGCACCCACACGGACACGGGCTCATCACATTACTGTCTGTCTCCGGTTTCGTCAGCTTGAACTATCTGACAACAGCTTAGCTACTTAGCCATATGTTGAATGTCACAGTTTCGAGTTTGAACTTCGAAAGGAGTTTAAATAAAAAAAAGAGAGAAATACAACTTTTAAAAAAAGGGTCCAGTAACTACTTCCTGAGTGGATTTTAAAACACAAAGGTCAAACAGACGGATTAGTCTTGTACTTGCTTCCAAAACCATTATAACCTTTTAAGAACGTGGATGTGGTTTGTATTTTTTTTCTTTTCTTTCAAATTTCAGTACTTATCATTTGTTTGGAGAGTTTAAGAATTTTAGGAGGGATATAAAAGTAAAGTATTCACCATTGAGCAATTCTTTTAAGCAACATAAAAGCAGCTGTGATTTAGGGCCTCTGGTGACTTTTTGACCAACGCCCTCTGTAAAAGCACTGTAATTAAAATCAGTAATTTCCTCGAGTGATTTCACTGAAATGAAGATGAAAAAATTAGGACATTGCAACAACCACATGGCAGGGCCGAGCCATTCCTGCCGCCCTGTTGCTGTGCCAAGGCAGGGTTATTCACACAGTGTTGACACAGATTCGGGGCAGGTTTGGACACTAGATGGCGCGCTTTCATGCGCATCAAGCACTACTGCAGGGACCTTTCTCACTCACACACTGACTTGCACACATGCACGCAACACACCTCAAAGATCCCTGAACGCAGCACACATGCTGACACGCTGCTGTTTACATGTGAGTCACACATCTATAGGTAATAATAATGACAAAGCACACATGTTTAGTGAGTCGGTACAGCTACCTTATAGCCGATGGTAATAAGACAGGAGGGTCCAAACAGGTAGTAGACATTTTATGGTAGTTCTAGCAAATAAAAGCATTAACTATTCACTTATTTTTCCTTAAAAAAAACTCCTTTCCCCTCGTAAAACTACTAAATTAACAGCAGACCGGGCCTCGAGAACAAAGTTAATAAACAAGTATGAGGGTCCAAAAAATCACATCTGCATCCCATAAGAGAAATGACTAACTAACTGCTGTTGTTCTTACTTGCACTCCCGGTCCTCCAGATCAAAATGTGGATTGAAGTTGATGAGGATCCGCTGGTGAGGACCAGGCGCTGATATCACCCATGCACATCTCTGAGAGGGGGGGTATGACTGGGGGTATCCGGGAGACGTGAGGTAGCTGGCTGATGATATTCTGATGTTGCCTCCACATTTATCTGCCGAATCAGAGAAGAATAACATTTCAACTTGACCCTTGACACCGTTACACCCTGTCAATCTATCCAATTAAATTCAATTAACTAACCATAACTAGCTCAAACTAAGTATTTTTGTATCTGTTTGTTTTTTCCAAATACTCTCATTGACTTTCTTATTAGGACTAACTAATCAGAGAGTAAACCCAATGGGAATTGTAAGTAAAATCAAATTACATATCGAAATATAACAATACGATACAGTATCGTAGTCCAGCGACATTCGATATTCATCATTAAAATATGGAGTCTAATAAAACACATGTTCTATTCAGTAACTTCATCTTATAGTGTCTCCCATTTTAAAGCAGTGAACCAACTGCTGTGCTCAATCAATACAGTCATGTCTGATTAAAAAAAAAAGTCCACATAGGGTTTGTTTTCTACAGTCGAAAAGTCTGGCATTTATCTTTTTAAGTAAAACCAAACAGCGCGCTGCTTCATCTAAAGGGATACTTCTTGGTTTTCCGGAGACCCGCTGTGATCAAAGTCTCCCACATATGCTGCTGTAACCTATATAATGTGCTCTGGTCGAATAAAGTCGTGTACAAAGAGCACGCGCCTGCATGTAGCCGAGGCTGGGGCAGTAATTATAGAAGTTGATCAACGACCAAGTTGATTCAACTTCAGCTAAACTCTCTGTGCGCAACCTGCTGCTTAACAAACCTGACTGGGATCAATCTACGACACAACTGTTGTTAAAGGCCTCTAACAGAAAAAAATATATTTTTAAAACATATTTTAAAAACTAAAGCCGAAAAAGAGACATTTAACAGTCGATACAAATAATAAAATAAATAATCGTATTATTTAAATCGTAATAAGAAGAGTTAATCTAAAAGAACCCGTTAGACCAGAACTAGTCTATATTATTTTTATTTTTTTTTAAATCAGATTTTTCTTTAAGCATTAGTTAATGGGCAGGTGAGGGAGTTGCCAGTTTGCCAGAAGATCAGCAGGGATTAGGGACAGCTAATCTTTAAAAAAAATATATCAGGATTAGTAGCCTTTCAGTGTACACAAAGGCTTTGCCTAAATAAATATCAGATGTCAGACTCACCGTTTTTGAAAGCCTTGACCACCAAAAGGATTCCCATCAACAGGATCACGACTAATCCACAATGCATCCTTGGTTAATCGCCGGAAAAGTAAAATTACGCATAAAAAACTTATAAAATTAAAATCCTTCCAGAGCTTTTTTTTCTCAGCAAGCGTGGTTGAATTCTCCTCTCAGAGCGATAAATAATAAGAAGTGTCTTTGAAGCGAATTGGGAAGTGAGTTAAGTGCGGGTTCAGGTCGCTGGCATCCTGTCATTCAGCTCCTGTTTCCGCTCTCCTGTGCCGGCTGTGCGCTTCTCTCCGGCGCCGATTGTGCCATATCCTCTCCAAAGACGCTAAAGCGCACGAAGACGCGGATCAATGACCCCACTTCCTGTGCCTCCTTACTCCGTCAAATGTTCTCCGGGTAGGGAGTAATCCTTGGCTGTGTGGGAGAAAGAGAAAGAGAGAGAGGGAGATGGATGGATGGGTGAGTTGGGTACGAACGCCTGCCGCTGCTGTGCGCACTGGATATTCCCGAATCGGTCTAACGCGCCACCGATGTATTCAGGAGAATAAAGGCGAGGAAACACCCTTACCCAAAAACTGTGACCACCGCTCCCCCACAGGCTCGGAGTGGAGACTGGGTGAGGTTTGTGATTGGTCTGGTTACAGATATCTGCAGCGATGTGGTCAAAGTCTTTGTGAGCAAGCGGAGCTGTACTGACACACTGAGGAGCAGCAGTCGGTTAAGTGACAACTCTCTCTCTCTCTCTTTCTCTCTCCCCCACTCCCTCACACACACTCTATCTCTCTCTCCTTCTCTCGTGTACCTCTCCATATCGATATGTCTCCTGTTTTAAAGATGTGTTTATTATTTATATTTATTTATGCCACATATGTATTCAAAATGTTTCCATAAAGCATCACGGTGCACACTTTTTTGTACCTTATCTACCTTCTGAAAAACGTCTGTCCCTTCGTTAGACTTTGTCCCCAGTTTTACTGGAGACAGTTGATTAATGCACTTCTTATTTCTCGGTCAATTTCTTACACGGAACCGCAGAAACAAATCCTCCTCAGTTTAGACTGGTTCTTTTTTTTTCCCACGGCATTTTCTTTTACGCACCAGCAGCCGTCCAGATGCGGCCGCCGTTAAAGCCTGCTCCACAACAGTGACACCATTAAACTGGCACTTTGAAATTTAGGGAAAATCAATTAAAGCGTAAATTACTGGAGCCTCAGGTCGTTTACTTCAGGCTGCCTTTTTTACTGGGTCTCACACAAACAAAACCATAGGGTTTTTACTCTGTGGTCTCCACCAGGAACCAAATACATGAAAAAATACTTTAAAAAATAGAAAGTAATAATGGGCTAAATTGGTAGAAATATCAAATGTCTAAACCCATATTGGTTAATGTGAACCGTGGGACATATAGGTGTCACGGTGGGTGAATTCATTAGGTGAAATCTACTGTAAGCGCAGCGCACTCCGGCGCAGTAAATGTAAACGTCAGTCTCATTCATAAGTCTCATAAAACATCTGCATTCACCTGCGCCATGAGGACTTCCAAAGCCGCAGGCATCCAGACCTCCGCCGCGCTCCACTTTCACCGTGCGCCGAGCCAAGTGTACGATCCGATAGGTTTCTACCGCTGAAAATGTGGGGAAAAAATATCGCAGTGTCCAAGTAAGGTGCCTGGAATACTCCTCCTTCCAACAGTTTCTTTGTAAAAGACGTGGAGGAAACCTCAGCGCGATTCAACCTGAACCTGTAACCCCTACCGCGCAAAGACGCACAGTGAAGCCGCGACTCTCACTCCCCTGTCGGCGAACAGACCAGTCTCAGCCACGCTGATCTCTCCAGGTCCCCTCGTGTCTCTCGCTCCCATTAAGCGCAACGAACGAATAAAACTTGGCGAAGGACAGCGTCCCAACAGAAACACAAGCAAATAGTGCCAAAAAAAAAATTAATAATAATAACCAAGAGTTCGTACAGATCTGGACTGAGTTCTCTCCCCCGTCCGTCTCTGCGAGAGCCACCTCCTCCAACTGATGCGCAGGCGAGGGTTTCTGTCCCTGCCGGAGCCTCACGCCCCTTTGACTGGGATGAATACTAGGGTGCGCGTGACTGTGTGCGCGCGTGGGAAAGCGTGCGCGCGTGCGGTTGAGTAAAGGGGTTGTCTGCACAATCGAGATGCAGATTTCATCCAGCTGCTTCAGCCTGCAGCTTCTACAGCCCGGACGCCTCGATAAGTCACACAGAACGCGATAACGGGATGGAGGGTGTCTGTTCTCCTGAGACGCTCTCCATGAATCAGCTTCCCTTTCACCGCTTCATCACCAATGCTGATTTTGCCTCCTCTTAACACAGCACACCCGTATGATAAAATGTAGGAAACAAATAGCTTTAGACGGAATCTTAAAACCTGTTATTAAATACAATAACTACACACTACGTCACCGGCCAGAACTACAGCTTTAAAATGTCACAGTGCTGTGAGGCCATAATAAAAAGTGCTGGACCTTTTTTGGAGCGTGGGGGCCCCGGGGGGACGCCCCGGGGGGACATCCCTATGTGTGTGTGTGTGGGTGTGTGTGTGTGTGTGTGTGGGTGTGTGTGTGTGTGTGTGTGGGTGTGTGTGTGTGTGTGTGTGGGTGTGTGTGTGTGTGTGTGTGGGTGTGTGTGTGTGTGTGTGTGTGTTGTTTCCACGACCAAAGAAGCCTTAGTGTGAGCAATCACTCTGTCACCCGTCTCCATCTGTACACTAAAAATACACACAGACGCATGACGTCAGCATACGGCATCCAATACATGATCTGGGAGTCATTCAAACACACTGGGACATGTGTAAGAAAACAGGAGAAAAAGAATTAAATCTAATGAAAAGACTGACATTGATGAGGTACAGTAAGTTGAGAGTTTGGAAAGAAAAACTAAAACATTTGTGGAAAAAGAGTTTTTAGTATGATTCCATTTAGTACTTTCCCCTCACAGATGTCAGAGAAAACTCCAGATTTCCACTTTTTGCCCACGTGATTACAAAACTGTTACATTCCTTGAAGCCAGCACAGGACAGTGGAAACTGCAAACACCCATTCATATTATTTATGCAGCATTGCGCAACTCTCCCAGAAGGAGAAGTGAAACAGGATTCAACCCTGTATCACTGAGAGTTCCTCACATAAGTTTCTCTAACCTTTGTCACGGGGCCTCAGGGCACGAATAAAGTGAGTGTACTGGCTGCTCGGTCCTCTGTTATTGTAGGTCAACCGAATGCAGTAACTGGAGGTTTTCAGCTCTGTGGTTATGTGTTTGCCATCCTGTAGGGGGCACTAGAGCTGGTAAGGGAGGGTGCCACACATGCACTGGTGAAGTTTCCCTTCAAGGACTGCTGCCAGACATAAAAACCTTTACATGTGGCTGGAGCTGGATAAGGGTCTGAATTAATGAAAACCATGATCTTTTTTCCTAAGTATGTTTGTTGCTCTAACTGAACAGACTAAGACTTAGAAACCAGATCTGGAACTGTTCTGCCAGGGACCCTTTTTTGGCATAAAAAGCCCAGAAGGAAAATTTCTAGCAGCAGCAGCAGCAGCAGCGGCGGCAGCAGCAGCAGCAGCGGCGGCAGCAGCAGCAGCGGCGGCAGCAGCAGCAGCGGCGGCAGCAGCAGCAGCAGCAGCGGCGGCAGCAGCAGCAGCAGCGGCGGCAGCAGCAGCAGCGGCGGCAGCAGCAGCAGCGGCGGCAGCAGCAGCAGCGGCGGCAGCAGCAGCAGCGGCGGCAGCAGCAGCAGCGGCGGCAGCAGCAGCAGCGGCGGCAGCAGCAGCAGCAGCAGCAGCAGCAGCAGCGGCGGCAGCAGCAGCAGCGGCGGCAGCAGCAGCAGCGGCGGCAGCAGCAGCAGCGGCGGCAGCAGCAGCAGCGGCGGCAGCAGCAGCAGCAGCAGCGGCGGCGGAGCTGCTTTTAGAGATTTTACTGCCGTATTTCTAAACAAGTGCACTCAGTGAATTATTCTGCACAGCTTATCCATGCATTTCTCTGCTTTCAGTCTCATTATAATTCTTTACAATCATCTCAATTTCCAAATTAATGTGACGCCCTGAAGGATTCCCAAAGACAGGTTGACTTTTTTTTATGCACATCATGTATTGAAATGTCTGCCTGAAAGTTTTTTTTTTTCAATGCCACAATGGGACAAGATAAGCTTACAGCCCTGACACATTATTATTTTTATTCAAAGAGAGAGGCAGACAGAGGATTGAGTGGCTTTATTCCAATCCTAGTGCTGGCAATTCACGGTCGCGCTGATAACATGAATGTTAAAACGGTGTCGGGAATCTCTGTCAAAGGCAGAGCTAACTAGCCTTTGGTGTCTTCGGGATAACGCAGGAACAATGGCTCAGAGTCGTTTCACAAGAGTGCCTGCCGCCGCCCTATCTGAAGCTGGAGGAACAATAAAAAGAGCGATTTAAAGGATTTGCCTCTTCATATTTATCCGCACTAATCTTTACTAAAGCCCAGGTGAATAATTAGCCGAGCTACAAAAGCAGACATTTTATGGCTCCAGTGTGCAGTCCACTAAATTTCATTAGCCTGCCCTTTATTCACCACAGTCAGTGAGTCAAAGTGAAATGGTGACTCACGCCAGCACAAAGTCAGCCTGGGAATTTCACCCCTTGCACATGACCGAAAAAAATCTGCTCCTGGAATCACAGGTTCATACTCCCAACGGAGTTTAACCCTTTGAACAAATAAAACGTCGATAAATAAATAATTAAAATTATAAATAAACAAACCCCTCCGGGGCCGCTCCAGGACGCCGTGCCAATATGAATTAACACTGAAACGAGGGAGTAAATGTGAGAGCAGCGGTGTTCACGGCTTTATTGCAATTTAAGAGATTGGAGAATCTGTGCCAAGGAGCATTAAATTTAGAAGAAAAAAAAATCATTATGGAATTACAAAGCCATGATAGGTTAAGCCGTACCAGAGAGTCAGTGGTTACAGGAAAGGGAGTTAGAAAAGCAACAGCACAGATTCCAAAAAATGTTTGGAATGAATTATCTGATCATCGAGGTCTTAAAATGTATTACCATTAAGAGCAAATAAGTAAATCAGAGAATTATAAGGTACTCTTGTTTAGTACAGTGGTAACAGACACTGATCTTTTATATAAGATGGGCCTCTCTGTAACCTCTTACCCCTGTTGACCCCACTGATCACCACACAATAACAACAACCGCAGATACCAGGCTACTTCTGACCGAATTCTGCTACATAGCGTGCTATAGCTAATATTCAAATTTGCAACTCCATCTTGAGCAGCAAAGGCTTATGTAGAACACCATTCTACCAGCGTTAGTATGTTAGAGCGGGGGTGATATAGTGCCACATACAGGCCTGGCATATGTACTACAGGGACCAGAGTTGTATTCAGCAGCCCTGTTTTCTCAAATCAGGTCCATTTGAAAGCTCCGTAGTCGAATCATATCGTACGGTAGCCCTGTAAACTGGACGTTAGACCGCTGTGGACACTTAGGCTTCAAGGTGACAAGAGCTCACAGTCACAGTCACCAACAAATTCTCTTCTATTCTATTCTACTGTAAGGGTTCAACAAAACTATTAGATCACTGACATTATAGAGTGTTTTCTCATTCAGAAATAACCAGCTTAAGCATTTTAAAGAACAAAACAAATAAAACACAGCAGGCTTGATGTAGGAGGTTTGGGGGCTGGAGGCCTCTGAAAATAATAAGCACAAATAATAGAGGAAATGTATATATTTTCATGGGGGGAGAAAAAAAAAACAAAGAAGAAAGAGACAAACTGTGACTGAAGCAGACTCCTCTATGCCAGCCTTTGGGTGAAGACATTACAATAGAGGAGTCCCTGAAAAGAAACCTCTGCAATGCTGACTCCTGAAAGGCGGGGCTACAGTGAAGGTGGTTGGAGGGAAGACTCAGTTGGATCAAGGTCTAAAGTAATTGCTACAAAGGCAGTGTTTCTCCTCCAAGGCGTTTTGGGCGAGGTGAAACTAAGTGTGAATGGAATTAGCAGCAGGCTGAGTAAAAGCGCTTCTGAAGTTTGGAGGCATTATGATAACAGTGTAAAAGAACAACCAACCTCCAATGTTTCAGGCACACTCCTTGTTCAGACACGGCTGTGGAAACACAGGGGAGGAGGAGGAGGAGAAAGGTGGGGTAAAGGCTACAGAGAACAAAAACAGAAAGAAATGGCTTCATTTGCCATCGAAACATTTACAGTGACATTTAGTGAAGCGAGGAAGATGTATGAATAAATATGCATAATGTTGCTGGGAAGCATGGAGAGCTTCTCAGGGGCAGAAGGAGGGTGAGAGTGATGGCTCCTGAATTAATGATGAGGGAGCCTACTGTCTGTCTCTGGCTGTGCATGTGGCTCTCTGTGAGTATCTTCACTTGTGACAGCATTTAACTGCCAACGGATGTGTGTGTATGTGTGTGTGAGAGAGAGAGGGAGTGTGTTGGTGCGCGTGTGTGAACGTGCATCTCACCCCTCGTTTTTGCAGCATCCTAATTTCACAATCTTCTCTGATGTAAATTACCCAATCTTCGATACCTAATCAAGCGATCACTTTTTGGAGGCACACAGATTTGCCATTGTCTCAGATGCTTAACCACATTTCTGGACTCAAACTGTCTGGCGAATAACAATTTAGAAAATAAATAAATATATATACGTATATAAAGACACACACGCACACATAAGCAAGTATATGCTGTATAAACTTCATATTTGTGTATATCTGTATGTATTTAAATATATATGCATGTATATATACACTATATGAACTTTTATATTCATATATGTGTATACACTGTATGTATATATATATACTGTATACATATATACATATATAAACACATATGCATGTATATGCTATGTGAACAGCATATGTGTGTATATACAGTATGTATGTATATAAATATATATGCATGTATGAATGCAACATTCATAGTATATAGTATAGTAGTATATAGTGTATGCATATATGTATACAGTATATATATATATATATATATGTATGTGTATGTA